ACATTTTCAGACCCCAATTTCAGGCCCTCCAAGGTTAATTACTCTAAATCCGAGGTGATGCCAATGAACGCCTTATGTGTTGTGGACCCTTCAAATTGCTCTGCCCCTTTTCGTTGTCCCCCCATTCCCGAGGTCTTGTCTACCCTTGGGTATTACATCATTATTCCCCTCCCCCTCTCCTGGCGCTTGTAAAAAAGGCCAACATTCGTTCCCCTAATTCGTAGGATTCAAAGAAGACTTAGTCTGTTGACCGGCGTCTTCCACCTGATCTCCACTTTTGGGGGAGTAAAACCTCTTCAAAATGAAAATAATTCCTCGGTTTGTTAGACGCCCTCTCTTCAAATGAATCCCTGGCTTCTTTTAACACAAACGAAAATCACTTTCAGACATTTACATACGGCTCCTATCGTCCCTCTTTCTCCCCTGGAGAATAAAACCGTGCGCGTAGGCCCTCAAAACCTCTCCCACCCTAAGCAATGCCCTTCCGGAAGGGGGCGTCTGGCGCTGCCCGAATAATAACACAGATTACCCCAAAAAATTGCTTGCCTTTGTCCAGTTACCTTTTAATGAGCATCTGGTTGCGATGAGCCCCGATTCTACTTGGCCTAAGCATCTAGAAGACTACCCCCCCAGCTGGCCCCTAATTTCCTCGTCCATTAACATTTTCTATATGTGTCTAAGAAATGGACAACGGGCCTCACATGTACACAGGCCCAAACTTTTTTTGTTAACAGACATCACCTTAAGGGTCTTGGGACGACCTGGCAAGAAAACTTGAGGGCCAGGAGGGCTTCAATTTTCTTGCCCATATCTATCCCCTTTACAACCCCCCAAGACTTCCGCCCTGGCCTGATAGACATCTGCTCCTGCCAAAACCAAACCAAACGGTACCGGGTCTACTACAGCTCGGATCTGACGGCTCCACTCAGCACCTGGCAGATACAGATTACAGATGACACCAGTATGACTCTAATCTCAGTCCTGACTCCTGACATCACCTATGGCCTCAGGGTGCAGGGCTTCACCTCTGTAGGTGACGGGCCACTTTCCGATATGGTGCAAGTTAAAACCCAGCAGGGAGGTGAGCAGCAGTGTTATTGTAGTTTTCATTCATTTATATATTTTTTATTTTTTTATTTTTTTAATTTAATTTTATTTCAGTTTAGTTTCAATTAGTTTCCAGAGTAGCTTGTTTAGTTTTTATTGTTTAAAATGTTTAGTCTTAATTATTTTTTAGTGTTAGATTATTTTTATTATTATTATGGGGATTATTTGTCAGAATAGGTAGGCTATTACAATACAAACACATTAACTCAGTTATGTGTGTAAGAGTCTTAATAAACATATTCACCAATGCCTTTTAATGTATAGTTGTGCTTACAATTTTGATGAAAACTAAAGACATTTCCTGCATATATTTATTTATTTAGTTTTGTTAGTAAAGGTTTTTCCCCCCAAAGTGTAGTTTGTATTTTTATAGTAGTTAACAAAAATGTTTAATCAAACCTAGTTTTAGTTTTTAGTTTAGTTTTACTATAATAACCTTGGTGAGCAACCAAACATCTCTGATGTGGATCTATGTATTCATTAAGTGTATTCTATTTTCATGTAAAATCATATGTGTTTTATGTGTCAGTTTTGTACAATAACAATGTAGGTTAGGCATAATTAGTTAATTGAAGGTCCTGTACTTTATTTGGCCAATTCTGCCTCCTTTTTCCTTCTAGTTTTGTTACTCTTACAGCAGATATGGTTGCAGAAACATTACCAGTGTGACCATTTACCTAGGACTCATCCAGTGTAAAACCTATTACCCAGATAGACATGGATGACATGACCACTACCAGTACAGCATTGGCTGCCTCTACCCCAACACAGAGCATGAAACCTGTGTCTCTGCCTTTAACACCATCAATCTGAGCCAGTAGAAACCCAGACCTTTCTTGTCATTAGGGCACAAGCTTTTGTACTTCATTATCTGTTCCTCTCAATTTAATTCCCACTAATCCCACGTCAATTTATGCCATATCTCATTATGCTCATCATGTCAGTATATAACAAACATGCTCTTTTATTGAGAAATAACCGAAAAGGAAAATACAGCTACTCACATTCTTAAGATTTTTCTTCCAGTGATCATTGGACAGTTCCCCTCCAATGTATATATAATATTGCTTTCCATGTCTAATTTCTAGTAGCATGTCCTGCAACAATGTCCTCTTATGTGTTCTTCAGTTCCAGGTCAGCCATCCAAATTCCAGGTTGGCGCTGTGTCTGACACCAGCATTGAACTGACCTGGGAACCTGCCTTTGAGACAAAAGGAGTTATAAATTATGAACTTCGCTACATAGACCGCAGTTTGGGCACCCAGGCAAGACTTTCAGTGTTTCATTTAAAATCTCAGTGCCTTTTACACACTTGTCAATATCTTTAATCTCCATCAACAGATGAAGAAAACATTTGCACCCACACATGCCTATGTTGTGGAAGATCTCCGTCCAAACACAGAGTACTACTTCTCCTTGGCAGCCATCTCTAACCAAGGCATTGGAGCCTTCACCAACGACATATTACAGAAGACCTTACAGGCCAGTATGTAGCCCATTATTCAGTCTTCCATCTTGTTTTCTTTGTGGGTTTGCCAACAAAGAGATTTTCCCCAGTAAAGCAATTACACTATTTTATGCCTTTGAGTGAATTCTAAGTCGGTAATGTGCGTTTTCCTTTTAACTGAAGCTTAAAAAACATTTTCTCTGATGTCATCTGCATCAACACCTTTTTAAGTGATATGATGAACTACAAACTACAAACTGAGTTAACTGATGTGCTGTTGATTTCTTCCTAATGTGTGTGTATTGGGAGTACTGGGACTTAAATTATGAATGTATTCATTTTGTATGATTAAGCCTTAACTTTTATCATGATGGTCACTTCCTGTGGCCGCTCTTCAGGTCAATACCAATGGATGCAATATGTAGTACATATTTTTCATTTCAAGTATGCAGTATGAACTAAACAGTTAACAATAGCACGGCTAATGGCCAACCATCGCTACTGTCAAAAGGTTATGAATGTGGATTTTCTTGATTTTTTCCAAAGATGAACATTTACTTAGATGGGTAAGGTTTTACTGGATAACTGCTCTTCATTATAAACTGCATACAATGTGGGCATTATATGCAGGTCTGGTTCTGTTAATATCAAAAGTCATCTGTGTATGTTTCCTTCAGCTCCTGTGTCCTCTGTTGTGCTGGTCTCTGAGTGTCTGTCCC